TGGGAGAACATATTTTGCAATGATATATATAATAAAGGGTTAATATCCAAAATATATAAGGGACTCATACAACTTAACAAAAGGAAGACAAACAATCCAATTAGAGAATGGGCAAAGGACCTATAGACACTTCTCCAAAGCGGATCTGCAGATGGCCAAGAGACATATGGAAAAATGCTCAAAGTCACTGATCATCAGAGAGATGCATATCAAAATGACAATGAAGTATCACCTCACACACCTGTCAGAATGGCTATCATCAACAAATCAACAAATCACAAGTGCTGGTGAGGATGTGGAGAAAAGGGAACCCTAGTATACTGCAGGTGGGAATGCAGACTGGTATAGCCATTATGGAAAACAGTATGGAGTTTCCTCAAAAAATTAAATATGGAACTGCCAATTGACCCAGTGATCTCACTTCTAGGAATACATCCTAAGAAAACTGAAACACCAATATAGCAAATGTGTGCACCCCTATGTTCATAGCAGCACAATTTACAATAGCTGAGATCTGGAAACAGCCCAAAAGCCCATCAGTAGATGAGTGGATAAAAAAGCTGTGGTGCATTTATACCATGGAATACTCTGCAGCAGTAAAAAAGAAGAATCTCTTACTCTTTGAGATAACATGGAGGGGCCTGGAGAGTATCATGCTAAGTGAAATAAGTCAGTCAGAGAAAGACAAGTATCACATGATCTCACTCATATATGGAATCTAAGTAACAAAATAAACTGATGAAGGGAGTGTATCCAGAGACATGGAAATTTCTGCACTCGGGGGGTCCCTCAGCCCAGCCTTTGCCCTCTCCCAATCTGGGAGCCCTCAGGGGATGTCTGACTGACGGCTTAGGCCCACTCCCCACCAGAAAAGGAAACAGAGGCAAGCAATTTGTCAGAGAAAGAATTCAGAACAATGGTTATAAGGACACTGAAAAGGATGGAAGACAAATTCAACAACATGTGTAAGAATCAAGAGGACATGAAGAAGAACTGATAGTAAATAATGACACAGCCACAATAAAGAACACAATGGAAAGTTTCAGCAGATTAGAAGAAGCTGAGGACTGCATCAGTGAGTTAGAATACAAGGTAGAAAAAAAACCATCCAAGCACAGCAGCAACTGGAAAGAACTTAAAAAGCAGGAAGAGAGCCTAAGGGAACTTTGGGACAACACAAAATGAAACAACATCTGCATAATAGGGTTGCCAAAAGGAGGGGAAGATGAGTAAGGAATACAAAACCTGTTTGAAGAAATAATGAAAACTTCCCTGATGTTGAGAAGAAAAAAGCCACACAATTCCAAGAAGCACAAAAAATCCTAAACAAGATAAACACAAAAAGACCCACACCAAGGCACATCATAATTAAATTGGGAAACATCAATGACAAAGTAAGAATCTTAAAGGCTGCAGAGAGAGACACAAAGTTACCTACAAGGGAACTCCCACTAGAATATCAACTGATTTCTCAACAGAAACACATCAGGCCAGAAGGAAATTGGATGAAATATATAAAGTGATGCAAAGCAAGGGACTGAATCCAAGAATACTATACCCTGCAAGGCTATCATTCAAAATTGAAGGTGAAATCAGGAGCTTCATAGACAAAAAAGGGCTAAGGGAGTTTATTACCACCAAGCCAGCAATGCAAGAAATGCTAAAGAGACTGCTGTAAAAAGAAGAAATAGAAAGGGAAGAAGGAACACAGGCATAAAGAATAAAAATGGCGACTAACAAGTACCTATCAATAATAACCTTAAACGTAAATGGATTAAGTGTTCCAATCAAAAGACATAGAGAAGCTGAATGGATAAGGAAACATGACCCATATATTTGCTGCCTACAAGAGACCCACCTTAGAACAAAGGACTCACACAGACTGATAGTGAAGGGACAGAAAAAAAATTTTCAGGCGAATGGAAATGAGATAAAAGTTAGGGTAGCAATACTTATATTTGACAAAATATACCTCATAGTGAAGGCCATAACAAAAGATAAGGAGAGCCACTTCATAATACTAAAGAAATTCAACAAGAGGATATAACTCTGGTAAACATATATGCACTCAATACAGGAGCACACAAATACATAAAAAAAAAACTTCTGGAGGATATCAAAGGAGAGATCGACAGTAATACAATCATAGTGGGGGACTTTAATACCCCACTGACACCACTGGATAAATTCTCTAATCAAAAAATCAGCAAATAAACAGCAATCCTAAATGACTCACTAGATCAGATTGACTTAATTGACATCTTCAGAACATTTCACCCCAAAGCTACAGAAAACACATTCTTCTCAAGTCCACACAAGACATTTTCAAAGATAGGCCATATATTAGGACACAGGCAATCTCTTCAAATTCAGGAAGATAGAAATCATATTTTAAAAATGGGCATAAGGCCTGAATATACATTTCTCCCAAGAGGACATACAAATGGCCAAGAGACACACAAAAAAAATGCTCAAAGTCACAAATCATCAGAGATATGTGAATTAAAACCACAATGAGATATCACCTCGCACCAGTCAGAATGGCTATCATAAAGATTATTTTTTTAACTCTAATTCAAGCCGATACTTTGGAGTTATAAGATATATAAAGTCAAATCTGAAAGAAAAGATATAAAAATATTGATACACATACAAATGAATTGAAAGGTTCTTACAGTAAAACATGTTGTAAAAAAGACAATTTAGAATAACTCTATTGGAAATATCAATGCTTCAAATAGCTCCACCATTAATATACCTTAAGCAGTCTTTAGTGTTACCATGCCTTCCATTAGTGGTCATGTCTAATGGATACTTCCTGTGCCAGAATTTACCCATTGTACTGGTTGCCACTAATGTTGGCTAGGACTCACTGAACAGAAATTAGCATCAGGATAAATTAAGGGGAAACCTGGGGCATTCTGTTGCTCTCCAAAACGAAGATTTTTCAGAGATGTCTGGAAGCAAAAAAAAAAAAAAAGCTAACTTGGAGAGAACTCCCACTAAAAAAAGTGGTAACAAATTGAATATTAAAAAATAATAATTACAAAAAATTGGAATGAGCTGAGTTTGCCATCTAAGCAGTGAGTTCCTAATAATACTACAAAGTACATGTGACAAAAGTATCTTTTCCATACATATTTGAATTTCCAATATTAAAAAATTTGTTATATAGCAGTATATATCAATGTATAACCAAATTATGTAAAGCTTACACTTAGTCTAGGTATGTCAAAAATAAGTTACCTAAGATGATTATCCTATACTAGAGGCCCGGTGCACAAAATTTGTGTACTAGGGGTGAGGGCCCTCAGCCCAACCTGAGTCCTCTCGCAGTCTGGGAGCCCTTGGGGGGTGTCTAGCTGACAGCTTAGACCACTCCCCCTGGGGAGCAGGCTTAAGCCAACAGTTGGACATCCTAAGCACTGTCGCAGAGGTGGGAGAGGCTCCTGCCACTGCTACTGCACTCACCAGCATAAGCCTGGCTTTTGGTTAAAAGGGTAATATGCAAATAAACTGAATGGCGGAATGACACTACGATGCTCAATGCAGGAGCTGCCCCCGGTCGTCAGTGCGCGCCCACAGGGGGAGCGCTGCTCAGCCAGAAGCCGGGCTCGCAGCTGGCGAGCACCTGTGAGCACAGCAGCAGTGGCAGGAGCCTCTCCCACCTCCACAACAGTGCTAAAGATGTCCGACTGACAGGGCAGCGGGCCTAAACCATCAGTCGGACATCCCCTGAGGGTTCCAGGACTGCGAGAGGGCACAGGCTTGGCTGAGGGACCACCCCCCTCGAGTGAATTTCACCGGGCCTCTAATTTACAATGTTAGACCAACATTTATTGATATGGCATGTTGCCATTGTTATTTAAAAAAGTAATCTACATACCCTGGCTGGTTTGGCTCATTGGATAGAGCATCAGCTGGCAGACTAAAGGGTCTTAGGTTCAATTCCAGTGAAGGACATGTACCTCAGCTGTAGGCTTGATCCCAATGCAGGAGGCAACCAATTGATGTGTCTCTCTAACATCGATGTGTCTGTCTCTCCCCCTCTACTCTCTCTCGAAAGAAATGTAAAAATATCCTCAGGTGAGGATTAATAAAGGATAAAAATAAATAAAGCAATCAACACAACAGCCTAAGAGGTATACTAACATAATTTATTTATTTATTGGAATATTCAAATATTCAGAGAAATATTATGTTTGTGTGTGTGTGTACACAAGTTAATAGGGTGGTGCTGGGATTACAAATGATTTATCTTTCTCTTTAAACAGATTTATACTCTAAATCCTAAAATATTATATATTATTTAAAATTAAAAGCACTTACTCTAAAATTAACTGGTGGGTAAAAATTGAAAATTTTTCCAAGAAATTCTGATTCTAAGAAAAAATCAGTTATATCATTTTTCTATAAGAATTACAAGTATAGTTTATGGTGTGAAATAAAATCAAAAGTAGTTACTATATATATAAAAGGCTAAGCAACCATCCAACCATCCAACCGTCCAACCAATAGCAATGACACACACTGACCACCAAGGGGCAGACACTCCTACCGGTAGTATGATGTGCACTGACCACCAGGGGGCAGATGCTCAACACAGGAGCTGCTGAGCCTGCAGGCCAGGCTGAGGGACCCCACCTGCCAGAGGGACCCTTCTCACTCCACAGACGCCCTTCGAGCCACAGCACTACCTCAGGTGCAGCCGGGTGGGGAGGGACCGTGGGAGGTTGGCTCCAGGGTGTGTCCAGTCCGTCTGGCCGAGTCCCGCTCCACCAGCCACCTTCTGATTAATTTCCTTTCAATGTGCACAAATCCGTGCATGGAAGCAGTAGTTTCAAATAATAAGGCAGGACTTTTTCATTATGGTCAAAATATAACACATATCATTTAGGGGAACCAATCCATTGTCATCTTGTATAGGGTACTTTCAAAAATCCAAACTAACAAAAGCTTCTCCTCTAACAGCCCATATTAGAGGTGAAAGTTAAATCTACCTTTTTGTCACCCTCTCCTCTATTTCTGCGCCGTTGTATCTCTAGCCCAGCTTCTTTCTGAACACCTTCTGCAGACTTTGTCAGAAGTAGCATCTCTTTTTTCTTCCATTCCTGAAGAGCACAGTGTTACTGTGATTAGTGTTTACAGTAATCCCTTGTATTTTGTCACCACCAACAAGCAAATTAGAACAAGTCAAGAGCCTAACAGAAATCAGATCAAGTGTAGTGGAAGTCAAACATTGGCTTTTGAATGGGCTTCTTTCCTTCCTGCACTCCTACTAGGAATGCTAAATTTTTTTTTTTTAATATATTTATTTATTGATTTCAGAGAGGAAGGGAGAAGGAGAGAGATAGAATCATCAATGATGAGAGAGAATCATTGATTGGCTGCCTCCTGCACACCCCACACTGAGGATGGAGCCTGCAACTCAGGCATGTGCCCTTGGCCAGAATCGAACCTGGGACCCTTCAGTCCGCAGGCCGACGCTCTATCCACTGAGCCAAGCCGGCCAGGGCTAGGAATGCTAAATTTAAAAAGATATCCCCCTTACACTGAAAGCGATCAGGGAGTTAAATGGTGCCTGGTAACTTCCACAATCCTCTCCTTAAGAGCAGATATAATTTGTGGTGTCAGCCTCATTATTTTATGTAACAACTTGTATATCATAGCTGTGAAGAAAGATTAATGTGGGTAAATTACTTAGACTTGAAATGACTTCAAGAAATATTATAGACAACTAAAATTATTTTCAAATAAAACACTAGGCACAATCTTTCTCTTAATATTTTAAATGTATCTCTCACCTCTTCAAATTTTCTACGAAGAATATGTTTTCTTCTTGTTTGTTCCTGCTGTCGTCTTTTTTCTCTTTCCAACCAGAGGAGGCGCTGCTCTTCTCTTGTACGTCCACATTGATCTAATTTCATACTTATCTTATCCAAATAACTAAATAAAAGTGCAAATGCAAGTAAAGATGAATTGCATGTTTCCCTTATAGTGGCATCAGCTGCTTTGACACACCCAGACCACCTCATTACTTAGTCTTATTTCTTGCACTATAAGAATTTTCAGTTTTTCTCTCAGTTCTGTTCATGGATTTGTAAGCCAGCTCTCACCATGCTTTGTCATACAGATCTCTCTACCATGTCAGTATTTGTTCTTATGGCCAAGACAGTGGTAAAATGTGGAGCAGATTCCTTCAAAATATTTTGCGCAGTCCTAGCCATTTTGGCTCAGTGGACAGAGTGTCAGCCTGCAGACTGAAGGGTCATGGGTTCTATTTCAGTCAAGAGCAAGTACCTCAGTTGCAGGCTCAATCCTGGGCCCTCATGTGGGAGACAACCAAACGATGTCTCTCTCACATTGATGTTTCTCTCTCTGTCTCTCCCCACTTACTTGCACTCTCTGAAAATCAATAGAGAAAATAACCTTGGTTGAAGATTAACAACAAAAACACAAAAATACATTTTGCACAGTAATTATTCATAATTCAGTGAGTTTGCAAAGAAGGCTGGAATAACTGAAAATTTAATTTCAAATCTAGAAAGAAAAAAAAAAGGTTGAATTTCCGAAGAAAAAGATGTATCCTGGGTCCCCAGTGACTTATAGAACCTTAAACAAATCTTCCATCTATAATTCAGGTCTCTGCTATGTCAATATGCTTATGGAACTACCACAAAATGGACCCACAGAATATAAAAGTCAGGCTGTGCAGCCCAATCCGTCACCTTAATGAAGGATGAAAGAGGAGGAGGAGAAAACGATAATATCCCTAAGATATGGGCTTGACCATGAAATGGTTATGGTTGACCATGAGCAGGTAATATCTGAAGAGCTTACACATTTTCTTTTGGAGACAATGCATCTCTACATTGGCATTAGATATAGTTTAGACAAACCTCTATTTTTGACTTTGCATGAACTTCCTTAAATTTAATGCTGTCAACCCTTAAAGAGGAATCATAAAAAGCAACTGCTGCCCTGGCCAGTCTGGCTCGGTGGATAGAGCATCAGCCTGTGGACTAAAGGGCCCCAGGTTCGATTCCGGTCAAGGGCATGTACGTTGGTTGTGGGCACATCCCCAGTAGAGGGGGTACAGGAGGGAGCTGATAGATGTTTCTCTCTCATCGATGTTTCTACCTCTCTCTCTCTCTCTCCCTCCCTCTCTGTAAAAAATCAATAAAATATATTTAAAAAATAAAAAGAAGCAACTGCTAAAGGCCAGTGCTAAAAGATTGTTTTCCTCCATTTGCAACAACAGGAAGGATTTTGGATCTCATTTGTCCTTTACTTATCAGTTTGGATTACCTCTTGTATTCCCAGAAATCCTGTCGTCTCTGGTGGAATTTGCTCTTCCTTCCCTTGACACCCAAGTTCCCAATTTCTGTATCTCTTGTTCTCCCTTCCTCTCTATACTTAGGTCAATAGTGGAATTAAATAGTGTCTAGTACATTTTTAAAAATTCCTAGCTCCAATTCTTTCTAGTATTTTTCCAACTTATTTGAGTCTACAATCTATACATAAAATATGCATTCACTTCCATCTTACCTGGGCATTTCTAATGGCTCCTGGTCCTTAAAAGGTTGGGTCTCCTCCCATAAGAACCAATTTTGGAATTGTGCATCATCAGGAAGTCCATGTAGTTGATTGTTTAGTTGTAGTTTATTTATTTGTTTTGCAAGCATTCCCTATTTTAAAAAGTGTGCATCATATAAATGCATATATCTGTATGTGTGTGTATTTATACATATATATCTTTTTAAAATTTGCAGAAATGAATTGTCCTTTGACATACCTTTTTATAGTTAGTGTTTAGTAAACTTCTTGTATTTTCTAAATAACTAAGTCAGTTTAACTGCATTTAAATCTATTTTGAATCCATTACAGACATGGGTAACTGAATCAAAGTAAAAATGTATCTCTCTAAAACTTAAAAGTAAATATCTCATTGTACATTTCTATCCATTCTGAAAAAAATTAAATGAAAGTATGGAAGAAGGGCAAGAGAAACTCTAGACACAGAGGGGGAAATATAGAACACTTAAAGGTAAAGGTAAGTTATTCTCATTTCTATACCACCATCTCACTGTAGAACATAAATTTGTAAAAGTACACATGCACATACCTTTCTTGACCCTAAAATCCAAATTCACTCATGGGCATGTGTTTGCATGACACACACACACACTAACTTTGAGTCAAAAATTGAAAGGAGCCTGGCCAATGTGGCTCAGTCGCTTGGCTGTTGCCCCATGCACTGAGAGGTTTCTGGTTCCATTCTGGTCAAAGCATTCCCCTCATGGCACATGTCCGGGTTTCAGGCTCAGTTCCCATAGCGGACAGGCAGGAGGCAGCCACTCCATGTTGAGCTCTCATATCAATGTTTCTCTCTCTTAAAAAAATCAATATAACTATTCTTTTATTAAATAAAAATTTTAAAATTGAAAAGAAGTCACTATTCATACTCACTCTCTCTACCTCTAATCATTTCACTTTACCTTTAATATAATTTTTTACTGGATGAACACAGCTGCATGTGCTTAAGTACAAACACAGTGTATATGTTCTTGAGTCACCTGTAGGACATTATAACTATTCACACTGTTACTCTCCTATTACTCAAGCTAACTTTGGTTCCGGTTTAAAAATCTTGCTGCCACAATAGATTATTCCTATTGGCCCCAACTCAGATAAAAGAAACACACTGGATTAGCAATTTAGTTACTAAATTATACCCAACTACCACTGACATATTAATAGATGGCCTGGTCCCTTTCCATTTCTTGGCCCAATAAAACAACCTCAAATTCTTCTTTATTCCTGCTCTAAATTTTCATTTGGAAAAAATAGTCTGTCATAATCAAAGGTAAAAGTATTACGAGAAAATACTTTTAATACAAGTAAACCTTTCTTTCAAACTTTACGTAAGAAAACAAATTTAACTATTTAACTTACTTGTTCTTTTATGTAGTGCCTTTCGAAGTCTAATTTCAGACTTGTAAGATATTGCCTATACTTGTTAAACTCAGTCAAGTTACATATAACCTAAAAAACAAAAACAATAACAAAAAATATAAGTATAAACATTTAAAAATCACAGCAATCACTTTCTGAAGGAAAAATATTAATAATATGCAATTTGATAGCATTTTGGTATCAAGAGTAATAAATTGCTAACAATTTTATAAGTAGTCGCTCTCTACAATTGTTAAACAACAGGACATATCTAAGTCTCATTACTTTTTTAAAATATGATTTATGAATTTAGTACACATAATAGGAGTTAATAGAATAAAATGCCTATCTATATATATAAAAACCTAATATGCTAAGTATCCAACCAATTGGTCGACCATTTGGTCGACCCCTTGATCAGTTGCTATTACACACACTGACCACCAGGGGGCAGACACTCCAACCAATCAGTTAGCTTGCTGCTGGAATCCCGCCAACTGGGACTGGGCAAGACGGGCCAGGCATGCCCTGGAGCCAAACTCCCGTGGTCCCTCCCCAACCTCTAAGATATTTCTTCTAATTAATGTCCTTTCAATGTGCATGAATTCATGCACCAGGCCTCTAGTGTAATAATAATTACATATTCAATACATATTAGGATATAAAATTATTCTTATGTTTTATCAAGACTGTATCAGGCTAATATTGCTGTGTTCCTAATTTTTTTTTCTTTTTAAAAAATATGGAAAGCTTCATGGATTTGCATGTCATCTTTACACAGGGGCCATGCTGATCTCTGTATCATTTCAATTTTAGTATATGTGCTGCCAAAGTAAGTACCCGTGTTCTTATTTTGTCTCGAGTTCTTAAAAATTTCATAAGACATAATCCTTGACAAGCATACAAAATCATTGGAGACAGAGAAAGAGAACTGTAATACAGTCAGAAAATTATTTTTATATCCTCAAATTACTTGGTTAATCACCTTTTGATATTATAAACAAGAAAGGTGGAAGAGGTAGTATCATTTAGAAATGCAATTGTTGTCTGATTTTCCCTTGACCCAAAATACTAAGTAATTTATAGAATTTCTCATTAAGTATCACCAAGTTAAAAGTGAAACCCCACCCCCATCCCAATGAGGTATAAAAGCCAACTTATATCAAGTCTTGGAAGTCTTCAATGATTAAAAGGAAGTAATCTTCGACCCACTTCATTATTGCGGGTGATGTAGCCTCCTTTCTTTAATCTCCTCCGGATATCTTCACGTGAATGGTATGCTCTTAAATGAGGATCATGAAGACTATTATATTGGTTGTCCAAAAGTGGACAATAAGAATCAGTCAGGTTAAAACCATAAGAAGGTTGAAAAAGCTGCAAACACAGATTTAAAAAGATGAAAAACGGAAATTTTGAAAATAACTAGAATGTTCATTCAAAATAAAGCATGCAAGAAGAATTTGACATGGGGAAAACCAGCAACAGAAAGATTTGGATTGGGTAATGCTTATCGCTTATTCCTACCCGCCCCCTCCCCCCCACACACACACACACCTGACCTGAATTATTCTAAAAACCCACCCTCACTCAATTCCTCCACTGATCTCCATCAGTTTCTACCCCTGAGCCAGAGAGAAAGGAAGAAAGGAAATGAAAGAGACTAGGATAAAATGTGTTTTAATGGATAAAGCTAATGCTAAGTTCTCCATTTCTTCCCTCCCTCTTCTAGGTCAAGGCACTGCATTCAAAGTATAAAGAGATAATATTAACTATGACTGTTATATCTCAATAATCTAAAAATGAAGAAATTAGAAAATCTTTTTTGAAGATTCATGGAAACAAGTTTATCAAATAATAATAGAAGTAAAGCTCAGATGTTAAAGATGATGGATTAAAGGGTTATTGTGTCTTGTGATCTTATCTAACATAAGAAATCAAACAATCTCTGAGTGCTATAATCAGGGAAAAAATCAAGACCTGGATTTTAAAGTTTAATATATTGAACCAGTTAAGAAGGATATTGATAGGAATTGAGATTTCTCCATATGTGAAAGACCAAATACAACCTTGTGCAATAGCCATTAATATTTAAAAGAAAAAAAATATCAGCTAATAGTCATGTTTCTATATGTGTTATTTTGCAGGGGTGGGGAAACCTTATCTGCCAAGGGTCATTTGGATATTTATAATATCATTTGTGGGCCATACAAAATGATCAATTTAAAAATTAGCCTGCTATATTTGTCAAACATTTAATTAACTCACCCCTAATGCCTTGGCAGGGCCAGACCAAATGATTTTCAGGGCCTTATAGGGCCCATGGGCCGAATGGTCCCCACCACTGTTTTAGAGGAAATAGCTGTTATTTAATCTCAGTTGTAAATGAAAACATTACCAAGTTGGGGCTTTTTTTGTTGGTTGGTTGGTTGGTTTTTTTGGTGTGAATTCTTAGTCTAATTTTTAATAGCAGGATGGTGTTAATATATTAAGCAAGAACCTGTGAAAGGGAAAAAGTATAGGACAGAAGTAGATGTGGACTTTGTCCTAGTGTCTTTACATTATTTTTGTTTTTGTTTATGTGTTTTTGCTCAGGAAAACAGAAGTTTTAGTCTAAAGTAACATCAAAGCAGGAACTGGCCCAAGTGAAAGGTGACTGGAATGTGTGGGGATGTGGCAAACCTGAGAGCACCTATCTTGTTTGCAGGCCCGATTCAATGTACAAGACTCCACAGTCCTGACCTGTCTGCAGGGACCTGTGTTGCTCTGTCTGGCAGAAGCCATGTCAGTCATGTTCTGATCACTCAGCAGCCTGGATGGGTGGGGTCCTAAAAGAACTCCCTTAATGTAGGTGGGAGGATGCTTCATATGTGGGCAAAGGGGATTGGTGGGAACTGATAGGATGCTAGCTTTCTTTTCCATTTAAAGCTTCCTTGGAAAGTTTCTGTTTTCAGCTTGAAGCCCAGGCTTTAACCCTTCCAAGGGGCCTAAATCATAAAGTGCAATCATTCCTTAATTGTCAGTGCTTCCCTGAGAAGGAAGAGAATGGAATTTTGGGGGGCAATGTCTTGAATTCAGTGAAGCCAGATATGAAGCAACCAACAGTCAGGAGTCCAGGTCTGTCTGACTGTTTCTTTTAGAGGATGACATTTAGCTGTCAAATTCTTTTAGATAGTGACTTTAGTTGTGATGAGATGTTTCTCAAGATCAAACCTGGGCTACTTGACCTATAAACAAAGAACACCTTTTAAACAAATCTATTCATGCCCTACCTGGTTTGACTCAGTGGATAGAGCTTTGGCCCATGGACTGAAAGGTCCTTGGTTCGATTCTGGTTACAGATTAGATCCCCAGGCGTGTGAAGGAGGCAACCAATTGATCTGTCTCTCTTACATTACAGTAGGTCCTTAGGTTACGTGGGAGATATTTTCGCTGTAAGTTGGAACCCACCTACATAAGCACCTGTGTCACTCACCTGGAACATATACACAGCAGTAATGAAGTGAAACAGTAAAAAAAGTTTAAAAGAAAGATAACAATTCCTGACCTTTACTTGTGGTAAATAAATAATAAAAAACATAAAGCACATATGTACATACGTCGAAATGACGGAATTTTTTTATATATATAAATAAATGGGAGATGGCGACATAACCACAAAACAATGTACCTCGAATCCAACGTAACCCGAGGACTGCCTGTATTTCTCTCTCTGTGCCTCTCCCCCTCCCTTCCACTCTCTCTGAAAATCAATGGGAAAATATCCTCAGGTGAGGATTAACAAAAAATTCATTCATTGGAGCCAGGATAATCCTGTTTGTCAATTAAAATAACTGGTTTGTGTCCCTTTGGAAAAAAAAGAAACACACTAAAAGTGTAAATATAAAGCATTATTCATTGAGGAACTTATACTAAAAGAAAAGGAAAGCTCTCACAAACTCAGTCTTCAAGGAAATTGCTTGGTGCCAAATTATAATTGAATGAAGACAGTTTGGGGAAAACGAACATAATAAGAATAGAGAGAACATTTTTTTAAAAGTAGTTGACAAGCGAATTAATAGTTGACAGAAAATGGTAACACAACAAATAATATATTTGAGGAAGCAGACAAAAGAAAGAAGGCAAAATTTAAACACAAGAGAAGTAGTATAGGTGGCAAGCATGTAGGAAAGCTAGTTTCTGTGAATGTGACCCAGTTAAATTGTGTGAGGTAGGCATGTTTTTAGTCAGCTTGCTCTATCCTAGAAAAACAGATTTGTTTTTAAAAACAAATATTTTCCAGAAGCAAAACTTGCTTTAAGAAATCATGTTTACTTGGCAAGTATCAAATACCTACTCATTTCTGACATCACAGAGAGTAGAAGGGTAAGGGGGTCTCATGGAATTCTTCCTTGTAGAATTTTTGGCTCTGTTAATCAAAGAAACCATTCAAAAAGAATGTCCTCCACCTCCTTCATGGATAGTGTTTGACTCAGGACTGGGTAGGTTTCAGGGTGGGAGTAGTCTTGAGAACTAAAAACAAGAAAGTGTTTGAGGGAAGTATACACTATAACCCAGTATGAGTTAAGTTATAAAACTGTAATTACAGAATTATAGTGTTGAGTAAAATTATACAAACAAGGGCAATGCAAATTCTAAGGAAATATAAGCTCGCTGGGGGCTATGATAGTTCAGAAAAAAAATCTTGAAAGATGGCTGAAGTTCACAGACTGAGGAGAAGAGGGAAGGGTACACCAGGTTTGGGGGTTAGGTGAGGAAAGGCACAGAAGCATTACATGGTATGTGAGAGGAGGTATGAAAGACCCCAACTGGAGGAAGCAGAGGTTCTGAGTGGGAGTAAAGACTGGACAGGAAGGTTGGGGGAAATCATGGAGTGTCTCCCGGGAGGCAGAGCTTTCTTCCATTAAAGTGAAGTTTAAGTACCTAAGCATGTTAACTCACTTCAATTCCATTTTTTCCTCACTGTTGTGTATGAGATAGAATTTCTCTCAAAACAAAATCATAGAGAAGTTTCTATAATGAGAGTTTTGTCCAATTTATTATTGGTTAAAATCATAACATAATTAAATGCCGGCCAACACCAATAATTTTCCACCTTTGAACCAAACATATTTATTTCTAAGTAAATAAAATCTCACTAAATATATTTTGTGTTGTTACAAAGAAAAGTTAATATGCTTCCAAAACTTGAGAGAACTAAGAATAATACCTGTCCATCCCATGATTCTGTGCAAGCCAGACTAAATGAAGTTGATTGGCATGAATCCTAAACAATACCTTGGTTTACATGTGGGTTTGAGTTGATTTTTTTTTTCTGTGAATGTTAATGCAAATTCCCTTAATGGAATTTGTATAATGTAGCACTTGACTTTAAAAGCAAGTAGAAATGGGCAAAGTCAACCAATGTCATGACAAAAATTACCGTTTTATTTAACTTCGTTGTATAGTATAAATTATTGCTCCCAGGGATCACAGGCAGCTTGACCTCAAGAGGCAGATCCAGTAGTGCAGCCACTCCACTGCCAGGGAAATGTGCTTTGTGCTCACCCTGTCGGGAACAAAGGAGAGTTTTGTCTTTCCTTTTAGGCTTTATTTCCTTAGTTCAAGCCTATCTACCCCTAGTTTAACCAAAGGAAGCAAAGGGTCATACAGTCAGGATTAAAGGGGCCTGACCTGCCAGACAGCCCTGAAGACCTGGTCTGTCACCAGCCAGGTGCTGCTCCCCACTGCACTGCATGAAGGTACCTCAAGCACCATAGTTACACCCATGGTACCTGTCTGTGGCTCTCTTTGCCCTGCCCCACAGGAAAACAGGGCCTCTTGCCACTCACAGCTCCACACTGTTGGCGGTTGTTGTCCAGGCTGCTAGAGTTCTTTCTGGTGGTGGCAACGCTGTTAGCCTTGGAGTAGGTGCTGAGGTACTGCTCCATAGTAGCCCTAGGCTCCTGCTCTTCTCGTCCCTTGTCCTGACAGCCCAGAATTCCCAGTACCCCTTTGTCCCACTGTCTCAGAGTTCCAAGTTGGAATGTGGGGGCCCCAAAGGGCAGAGCCCTCAGAGGCTGTCCCCTCTTACTTGAAGCTTGAGCACCCAAAGTTGGGGAAACCAGTGTTGGGGCCTGATCTAAGAGGCCCACAGTTGAAATAAAATTTCTCTGAAACCAACAGTCAAACCAAACCCAAAATCACAACGTATAACACTTTGTTGGCACAAAGCTAGCTAATTTCTTCTAGCCTCCAAGGAGCTATGGTTCCAGAAAAAGAAAACTCCAGTAGTGATTGTACCAACCATTCCAGGGCCAGAGGCCTGGCTTTCCACCTGTCCCCTCTTAGACACTATGACCACACCTTTCCCAGGCTCCTGCAACCACTTCCCACTCCAGGTCTCAATGACGTTCTTTTGACCCTTGTTTCTCATCCAGTTCATCTGACTGCTACCATTTATCCTTCCTGATCCTTTGGTGTCCACTCTCACCTCTCTTGCTTTAAGCTCTCAACTTATAATCCAAAAGTTTAAAAATTAAAAGTTAAAGTAATGTCACATTCAAAGGGCTCAACAACATATATTCATTCATGTTACCAAATAAGAACAGGCAACACTTAAGAGTTAAGGACTGTTTCTACCCTGCTTTGCTCCATAACAATTACTGCTCTCAGCTACAGAGCTCAGGCCCTCTCTTCCTGGCACAGCTACTTCCTCCAAAGGCTGATCTACCAAGCATGCCCACTCCTTTCCTGGGTCTCAAGTTAAGCTTAAGTGGTAGGTTGTTAATATCATAATAATTGGTTTAATTGTCTGATACACATACATGCTTTCAAATGTTTTTATGGGGGTGGTATAGCATAAAGTCAGTGAATGTTAACTTCTAATCAAAGCTGGATCTGAAATTCTTTTCCAAGATAATGTCCTTAATAGGGAAATTCAATTGATTATTCTAATTCACAGCATCCACTCCCTAAAATAAGAAATATCTCCATTCATTTATTCAATAAACATATATTGTATGATTGCTTTCCTTTTCCTCAATTTTCAGCCTTCCTCTGCTCCCTCCTTCTCTCTCTCTCTCTAAAAAAAAAAAAAAAAAAAAAAAAAAAGCCAAAATGGAAATAACCTTGGTAAAATGAAGTCAAGCAGACATGGTTTTGAACCCTAACTCTGGATGTGAATTCCTTTTTCTCTGTCTCTAAAATATTCTCCCCTATAAAACAGGAAAAACAATGTCTTCCTTTCAAGAAAATTTCTGTGAAAATATGTGTAAAGAACAGACCTAATTATTTGATATTTAACAGATCCTCAATGAACAGTAATTATTCAGTTTAAAAGCCTACAATATTTCCCCAAAATCACTAACATCTAGCACCTCTGTTTTCACCAGTTACATTTTAGAAATCGTTATGCATAAAATATTATGGACTTTATTTTTCACCTTTAATCACATTTAACAATATATGTAAAATAATACTAAATGACCTTAAAATCCAAGTTTCAACTTGATCGTCATTCCCCTTTGCCTAATCTTTCAACAGCTCCCCACTACAGTTAATATAAAACCTAAATTCATCACCATGGCATTCAAAAGGATACAGAATCTGGTTCCTGCCTCTCTACAACCTAATCTCACATCACACTTCCTCTTAGTAAGCTCTGGCCACATTGCTCAGTGTGTTGAATACGCATGTTCTTTCCCACATTAAAGACTTTGCATTTGCTGTCCTCTTCACCTACACCAATCCATTCTTCCATCCCATGGCCAGCTTCTACCCATACTTCCTGTTTCGACCCAGATGTCATTTCCACGTAAGCCTTCTCTGACAATCATCCCTGTAAAGGTCCTAGTCTCCCATTCTTCCCTTTATGTGCTCTTCTCAGCAGTTCACTTTCTGTTTCTTTTTTAAGACCTATTTTCCCCCACTGGAAGGTTAACTACAAGAGAGTATTAAAATGACTCAGGTTTAACATCAAAATTACAACTACACTACAGAACAACCATCATTCAGAACCACCTGAAATCAAGATGAATGAAAGTCCTATAACTATGAAATTAAAGAAGAAGCCACAACCCTAGCTGGTTTGGCTCAGTAGATAGAGCGTCGGCCCATGGGCTAAGGGTCTTGTTTCCATTCTGTTCAAAGGCACATACCTTGATTGCAGGCTCGATCCCTAGCCCCTCCACCCCTGATTGTGGTGCAGCAGAAGGCAACCAATTGATGTATCTTTCTCACATCAATGTTCTCTCTCTCTCTCTCTCTCTCTCTCTCTCTCTCTCTCTCTTTCTCTCTCTACCCCCCCCCCTTCCCCTCTTTCTCAGGCCTCACTTCCACTCTCTCTAAAGGTCAATGGAGAAATATCCTCAGATGAGGATTAACAATAACAACAAAAAAGAAGCCATATCAAGACTGGTAGAAGGGGAGGAAGCATGGATGGGCTGGTGGTGGATAAAAATAAAAAGGTATACCTTGACTGTGGGGGTCACCCCTGAGGAGCGAGGAGTCCCAGGCAGGAAAGTCTCCTTAACTTCTGACTATAAAAAAAAAAAAGGTGGAAATTGAGGCTGAAGGAGGTTGAGCTCCAGTGCAGGGTCAACAACTTGAAAGGCACCAGAGATGTATGGGGAGGAACTGAATTGTTTGGCATCAGGATGAAAGCTAAAGGGGCAGGTTGTTTGTAGACAGAGGTGCTGGCAGAAGCCATTGTTCCTTCGATGAGCCCTTCCCCACAGAGCCAGAGACCCCATAAACTTGTCTCCCACTGTTTGACCCACCCTGGTGATTCCCTGAGCCCCGGCCCTACCCAACTTTGGGTCCCACTCAAGCTGTGTCCAGTGGCTTTATGAGAGGAAAGGCCTATCTTGGCTCATGCTTCAGATTTTTCTTAAATCTCTCAAACAAGCAGCATCTGGCCTCAGCCAGAGGCTTGCTGAATGACCCCGGACCCAGCAGCAGCCAGCCTTGGTTGCCTGCTTGGCCTCAAGTGAGCATCTCCAAGCCCAACACAAGAAGCGGCCATCTACAGATCGCTTTGTAGTTTATGCCTAGTGACCCAGGGTAGAACACAGGCAGTGGCTGATCTTGGCCTATGCCTCCAGGGAGGCCCCAGAGCCAGCATATCCAGTAGACAGCTTTAGACCAAGTTGAAGCAACACCACCCAACCACCCCCTAAGTGATACTCAAGGGCAGACTCAGCAGGTACTTGAGCCCTGCTGAAGTAGGTCCTGCTCTATGCAGTGGGTCTCTGCACAGCCGATCCTCCAAGGTTGTTGAAGGTTGGTGGTTAGCGGTCACAGCCAGTCCTTGCAGCTAGTCCTTGCCTCAGCCTGGGTAAATCCCTCCCACTGAAGTGCCAACAGCAAACAAGACTCAACTACAGCCTGGTTAGTATGGTTCAGTGGTTGAGCTTGGACCTATGAACAACGAGGTCACAGTTTGATTCCCAGTCAGGGATATGCCCTGGTTGTGGGCTCAACCCCCAATACGGGGCATGTAAAGGCAGCCGATCAATGATTCTCTCTCTCATCATTGATGTTTCTATCTCCCTTTCCCTCTCCCTTCCTCTCTCTGAAATAAATAAAAACATATTTTAAAAAAAGATTCAACTATAACAGGAGGGTGTATAGCCCACATGGGGGCACGCCTCCAGGGCCTTACTGGGGTGATTGGGGAGGCTGTGCCACTGGACCCAACAGGACACCTACTACATTAGGCCATGCTGCCAACCCTAGGACACATAGCAGCTCTATCTAATACATAGAAACAAATACATGGGAGGCAGCCAAAATGAGGAGACAAAGAAACATGGCCCAAATGAAACAACAGAACAAAATTCCAGTAAAGAACTAAACAAAATGGAGATAAGCAATCTACTAGATACAGAGTTCAAAACACTGGTTATAAGGATGCTCAAAGAACTAACTGAGAACCACAACAGCACAAAAAGAACCAGTTAGAAATAAAAGCTAGAACCAAGATGGCGGCATAAGGTATACACTTGTACATGCTGTCCCCCACAACCACAACAAAACTACAACTAAAAGACAAAACGGCTATCATCCAGAACCATGGGAAAGCTGGTTGAGAGGAAGTTCTACAACTAGAAGGAAAGAAAAAAGTGCATTGAGACTGGGTAGAAAGTGCGGAGGCACACGAAACAGGCTGGTAACTGGGTGCACTGTTTTTTTTTCAACTGGAAGGGAGATACAAGCTCTAGACTGCTCTGAACTCATTTCTGGCAAGACTCTAGGGACCCAGACTCCTACGGGGAGAAACTGGACTGTCTGAAATCAGGTCAGAAAGTGAGGGTGGCTTTCTTGCAGAACTGCTCACAGGGATCATTGTTACTGTGGGGGCACGGGACTCGCACAGAGACACAGAGACCCGGAGATGCGGAGATGGCTGACTAACAGCCATTGCTGTTTGCTCCACCCTGATAATTCCCTGAGACCCCACCCCATCCAATTTATAACCCCACCCAAGCTGTGCACAGTGGCTTTTGCATATGAATCGCCTGTCCTTTCACAGCCTAACCTAACAAACTGCAGCTGGGTCAGAGAGCT